ATTCCTGATATTACATCTGAAGGCTTGGCATAAGTTATAAGGTCCATCAGCAGAGCTTGTAATAAACTCCTGAGCACCAGTGATGTACTGTAGGTCTGAGAAACATTAGCTTTACGATTCGAACTGTGGCACCAAAAAATACTTTCTCCACTCCAGTGAAAACAGAGGGGATTCCTGGCAATAAGTACCAGGCTATCGCCTTACCCTTTAAAGACATGCTAACAGACAAATCCTCCAAAATGCTAGAAACTCAGGACATTCATAGTTAAAGTTCCAGCACCACCTGCGTTCTCCATGTAAGGAACTGAGACCACAAACACGCACACAAAATATCTGTTGCTGATATGCAGCAGACCATCCTGTCCAGCCGTGTTCTGTTTACTGACTGGTGACTTCTTCATAAGAGACTTCGTAGCTCTCAGCAAAGAAGTGACAATTTCTAGCCCATCCTGTGCAGTCCAGGGACCACAACCTTGCTCAGCCAATGCATCTGTCTGCATTGACTGGAGAGCCCAGCCTAGCTAATTCTGTCATCGCTTTGCCTGCTGTTTCAGTGAGGTCAGAGAAACAGCTGGAGATCTACCTCCCATTTAGATCATTCCGCTGTGACCATATTCTGGTCACACATCCCAGCATATTTCACACCATGCTTATTGAGGAGAGCTTGCTTCTGTCTTGGGAACAAAGCTGTCTTGCACAGATGCTTTGCTTTGCAGCCTCCTTTCTCTCCGGTGGTGTTTGACTGCCATTTATCACCTGACCCTACCCTTAAGGTTAGTCATATGGTATCAAACCAAGGGGTTGAGACGCCCATTTTATCTCCTGCCTGCCTTCTCATTCAACCTAATGTTAAACATTACACTAGCAGGAGTGGGCATCTTACCTCTGTAAATGGTAAGGCACCCCAGCAATTAATTCCAAAGGTACGAGGACTTGCCTGTACCTCGTGTATAGCAGAAACCTCCTTTCCCAGCTTTTCCTCATGTATAACCCAGGGCTGGGATTCCAGATGGTGTTAAAATCTTTAACTGTGTCTTTCCTGAATTTCTAGATTAAATTGTTCATATTGCATGAACGCTCAACAGGACAGTAACTCTTACTTGAAAGCATGTTTGTCTGGATACATAACTGCACTAGTAAAGTTTACTGCTAGCAGTAAAGCTTTGTGGGAAGTATTGTCCGTGGGGAAATGTGCAACCAAAGTCTCTGGGGGTGGGGAAATGAGTGCAGACTTGGAATCTAAACTCAGGTTTGGTTAGGTTTTAGTGTGATTAATTCCCAGTCAGTACTGTAGACAAGCAACTCCCATTTCTTTTGCCATGTGAATAAGTAGCAAGCGTTCGCATTCTGCATTGGGGTTTGTCATTTTACCTTTCCTTGTCTTGCATTTGGAACCAGGAGATCTTACCTGCTTTGGACTTTCCTTAGAGCATTGCTTTTGCACTACGGATAAGTGCAAGGAGCTGGACTGGGCGGGAGGGAGAATCGTGTGAGGAAGAGGAAGGTTAGTAGGAACCTGTTGTTCTTGCCCAAGGTCCTTATTCAGCAAGATGCAGACCCACTGAAATGAGTTGGGCACATGCTTCAGTGCCTTGTTGAACTGGGGCCTATATAAGAAACTGATTTTTTTTTTTATGTAAGGTGTAAAAAAAGTTATGAGGCTTGTTTTGGGTTTTGGGGTTTTTTTCTTTAAGATTGCCTCAGAATGCAAATAAGTGGTGAATAGCGTGGGATCTTGAAGCCATGTTCTTAAATATAGCAACAGGAGTTTCTGGTGAAAGGGAAGTTGTGATTGATTTTACAACTAATCGTAAAACGAGACCAATAGGAGAGCTACCATTGCTGAATACAGATCACGAATCTAATCTGCAGGACATTTTTATACTACATCTCCTGCTATCTCTTTGGTTCCAGTAATGGTAATTCATGAAAGTCAATGTGTAGCAAGGTTTAAGTGTTTCTTTCCTGAAGGGTCACCTGTGCTACTCAGCATATTTCTCCCTGCTGCACACCAGCCTGCTCTAACATGGGCAGTATTGGTACCCCTTCACTAGATGTTGTGTGGGCTTTTAATCACTGCTGTTACACAGCTCAAAACCTTGCCCTGCTTTCAAGGTCTCCTCTCAGAGTCCGAACCTGTCACGAATGCAGCATAGCTTTGATTGACCCTATTACCATTTGAGGCCAGTGCTGAAATGTCTTCCCTAACCGTGCAAACATAATGTTTGTCTTTCTGGGGGGGTCTGTCACATGTTGGAAGGAAATGAGACTCTTAGGCTGCAAATAAAGGAGCCTGGCTCCTGGTATGTGAAATTTCTATTCAAATTGCAACAGCACAACTGAAGGCACATAGCAAATCACTTTTTTTTTCTCTTTTACTTTTAACATGCCTTTATCTAATGCACCTTTACCAGCACCGTCCATTTTACACTGACAGTGAAATAGTGGGCAATAGGTCTTCATTCTGGCTTGCAAATAGCTATTGCGCGTCAGCTCTATGCCATTGGCCATGCAGCTGCAGTAATCTGCAATGTAATTCTTTCTTGGCCGCTGTTGCATACAATGGATTTGGTTGTGCGAGGGTGGGGAGGCATCAGGCCGCAAGCTCCAGGACTGTGGCAGACCTGTTGTCTCAGACCTTCCCCTTTCGCGTTGACTTCCTCACCTGGAAGAACCTGCGTCCTGCGGTGCTACTTTGTGTCTGTTCAAAGTCTGTGTAGATGAGTGGAAAAACGTGTTTAACATTCCATGCCGTGCCGTGTCCCGCTCTTCTTGCTAGCCCCTTGCTGTTGGAATTTTATAATCGCATAAGAAATTAAACCTGTGTTGTGATATGTATTTTGTGTCTTCCTCATTTGTTTGCTGTGTGACTACGGGGCTGGTGAGCAATGGAGGAGTGTGTGTGCCAACGAGCTTGAGTTCTGATGCATCTGCAGCCCAAATGTGCTACCTGCTGCTGTCAAGGGGCACGGCCAGCGTGTTAAACCGCTGCAGAGATGGCCGTGGGGAGAGACGGCAGCTTGTCTCCTTGGCCCATTGTTAAATACTTTTTCATCTCCCCTTGCTCCTGGTTGAAAATTCTCACTTAAAGCCTTATTTTGTTCCCTCTGTCTTCTTGAGGGAATGTCACTGCCTTTTTTACTACCACTGCAGCCTCTTAAAAGTGAAGCATCTTCCCTCATTTTTCTCCCTTCTGATCTGATAGTCGTTTCCTCTCATCTTTGAGCCTGGTCTGTGCTGAAGGGTGTTTGCGGTGCCTCTAGACCCTCTGTTTCCTATACCAAGGCAGGACAGGCAGCCTGGCAAAGGCAGAAGAGGAGCCAAACACGGCCTGTCTGACACTGCTGCGAGCTCAGTGCACGAGTGTGTGGTGTCGAGACGGCTTCTTAGCCAGGCTTGTGCTCCACCCCTGACGCATAC